ACTAAATTTAGACTCTGAGCTGATTTCATCACTAACCTGTCCTGACAGAGGTCTCTGCGGACGGAAGGGAGGCAGCACAGGGGACGCTACACCAGGCTGGGATCAACCTATTTAACAGGCACAGATCTGCAGCCAAAAATGGTCACAAAGAACACTCTTCTGGGCTCAGTCAGGGACAACTGTCATCAGGGCAAAGCCCAGAGCACCTGTACCACAGATGGCCACACCCATACGAATCCCAGAGTGTACTGTATATCCCAGCCCCTTCCACAGAGCCATCACGTACTCAGAATTGTAAATGTGACTACAGTATCATCAGCCAAATTCAGAAGCTTTCCTGGAAGAACAAAATACCAGAAACTTGATCCAAGACAAAGCTTGAACCAATGTGGAGAAGCACAAATTGAAACTGAATCAAATCCTGATCATTTTCTATTTTTTATTTTTAAGCCGGTCAAGAAAATACCCAAATTTTCCATCTGAAAATGGCTTAATTCAAATAACGTGTTATTAAGACGCTAAAATGCTCAGGAAAATAACTGAGCTCTTAAGCAGTAGGGTGGCAGTGCAGGGTAAAGTCACAGTCCAGGCAGTGACCCCCTCCATGTGGACTGTATCTCAGCATCTGCCATAAGTCAGGTGTTTGCCATCCTGGGGAGTCAGTGGGGAGGAGGGAGGGAAGGTACACAGAGAGACCTGGGCAAGTTGCAGTAGCCTTGTGACAGTTAGGAGAGTCACAGGCAGGCACTCAGTCGGCCAAGCACTGACAAGGACCCAGCACTGGACCCACTGGCTTTGCTGCTTAGCCTCAGCCTAGGAAAGAGGATCTGGACACAGAAAAAGGGATTGTCCCAAAGAAATTTCAAAGGAGACTTGCTATGTCAGGGTAGGGGGGAGGAAGAGGAAAAGGAAAAGATGCACTTTCTTCCACCCCATCACACTCCCTTCCCATTCTTCTTCCTCCCCATATAATCTATTTTCTCTTTCATCATCTCCACTAAGGAGTTTAAAGTTGCTAAAGCTGTTTTTTAAAGATTTTTAGCACCGTGCTGCCCATTTATTCTTGTCACTACCTTATGATACATCTAGTGAACTGGTTTGGGCTGGTACTAAAGCAAAAACAATACATCCCCTACCCTCCTAAAAGTCCTATAACTTTTTATAAAGCAATTGAACAACAAAAAAAATACAAACTATTTCTAAGCTAAACTAATCTGATGTTACAAGTGGTTCAATGCACCCCTCGCCCCCATTCCACCACATGAAATTCATCACTATTACTCATTTCAAAACAGATTTAGGTGAACAATATCATATTTTCATGCTCTTATAAGCAGTATTCATAGCATTGATGACATGCTCTCCATTTACATAGCCCACTTTTTAACTTGAAATTTAAAGGTTGCTTTTCACAAGAAATAAATGCAAACCAAATACGCATATAATTACATGACCCAGATTTAATGTTCAAAGAAAATTTTCATAAGGTTACATCCCTGGGATAAAATAACAGGAGACAAAAGTGAGTCATTTTTTATTATTTGCAACTTACTACAATGTTATATCCAAGTGTTCTACCTTTTCATACCATCTTTCCTTTAAAGAGCTTTTAAGAATGCTTACATGGGAAAGGCAGAAAATTCTGAAGCAAATGCAACACCAGTGTGAGGTAGTATTTCAGCCCTTTGTGAGCTAAAGAAAAGGTGATGTTAGTTTTAATACTGAGCTGGAGGGAGATCTCCTAGCTGGAAATTTAAAAAAAAAAAGAAATAAAAAATAATGTGATAGGAAAATAAATGCAAAATGGGAACCACCAGGATTGGAGCATAAATTTGTAAGCAAGAGAGTAAGAAATAATGTTGTTAAATAAGAAAAAATAGTTTAAATATGTGAAGGTATTTTGTTTGTTTTTCCAGAGCACACCACTAAAATAAAATCCCACGCGGTAAATTAAAAGGAATTAAACGAAGAAAAAAATATTACCCAAGAAATTTGACTACTCATAAGCATGAATAGCATAAATCACTTGGGTCAACAATATTTGGTTTTGTTCTTATCCTAATAATAGTGTCCTGGCTGTCTTAAATGTCTTCTAGAACAATGAAGGGTATAAATAAATAAATTCATAAATAAATAAATAGAAAGATAGCTTCCTCCTGTTAAATGTCATTGCTGAGGACAAAAGGCACAGACTAAATTACAAATAAGGAAAGTTGCAGATTAGTTCTGGATAATTTAACTTCACTTTTAGTGGTTTGGGGTTTCTCAAAAAGGTACTGCAAGCTCTGGCCTGCTGCACAAAAGTACTTGGAGTGCTTCTTAAATGCATATTTTCAGGCTTTGCACCCAGAGGTCCTGATTTAAGAGGTCAAAGATCCCAAGTACCTGCTTTCTCAGCAGCTCCCCAGGGGATATAATCTGCATATGGGCCATGGTTTGTACCTTGAGAAAACTACTCCCTAATATAAAAGACCCATCTCTCTACTATGGAGATTAACTTTTTTTTTTTTTTTTCAGCAAGAAACATGTTTCAGAGCAGAAACATGTTTAAATCTGCTTTCTTCTTCTGAACCATCAACCTCATAACCTTTGGTAGCCAGCAAGTTACCCTAATGGAAATTTCACCTGTTTAACAGTGATCAAAATTGCCTCTGCAGGTTTTTATCAAGCCACACTTGGTAGCAATGCAGCTACAAATGGCTGTAAATGTATACCAATGCTTTAAGATAACTGCATAAGCATCCTTCACAAATGCTGCTTAAAATTTTGTTGAATTTGCCTTTGGAGAAATTTTAAAGTTCTGCAAAGATTATGGATATTGCTCATAAATATCTACTACTGTATCTAAAAATAGTCTAATTTGCTCTTGTTCCATTTGCCCCTACCAAAAACTGTCCAAGTATATTGCACGGGAAGCTCCTCATGGGTTCCCTGAACATTTAAGACTCATGACTGGGAATTTTCTCTACCACCCTTCCCTTTTCCTTATCCCCTTCCTTCCTGTGTTACTTTTTCTTGATAAGCAACCCATTCCCCTTATCCACACGTACATGCACCCACTTTGTGGGTAAGATACACATTTTTGTCTTTGCTGCTTAGCAGTCGCAAAGTGCTGTTTATCCACCCCCAGTATGAGCGTTTCTCAGGGAACACTGAGTCAGGCCCTGAGGAGAAACAGACAATTTCACAAACAACCACAACACAAAGTTGTATGTGCTATTAACAAAGGGACTGTTAATAACAGAGAAACTCTGTTTTTGGTTTTTTGCAGCAAATTAAAAATAGAATATTAGAGAGCTCCAGAATGCACAGCAAGAACAACACAATAATATTTGAGTGAGTGGAGATCTGAAGTAGAGTAAGATATAGTGGGAATTCTTTTTCAGAAAGTAACTTTTAGAATCCTTTTAGTAACCAGCAATATATATACCTGGTACATCATCATTGTAGCCTAAGTCAGTTTTTTTCTAGCTCGTATTGAAGAGCAAAGAACTGATTAGTTAGCACCCACTACTGCCCTCATAAATCACAGGACTTCATGTTTGAGGTATAGGCACAGAGAGGTAGGTGAGGCAATGCCTAGGTTCTAGCCAACCTCATTGTCTTCCTTATGGGAAAAATGATCATGGGGGAAGAGATGTCAATAGCATTAAAAGTTAGTCTTCTAGGGTGTTCTGATAAAATCCAGACCTGGCAAAGGGGGAATACCTAAACTGGTACCCACCAGTGCTAAAATCAGACATGATCTGAGAGTGACTACAGGTGGCTTTCCACATTCTGAATGCACTGCATGAAATCTTTTTTTACACACATGACCTACTGGGAAAGACAGCAGAATGTCCAATGCCACTGCATCAGCTAAAACTGATAACTCCTTCATATCTCTTCTGGCTCATGGGAATTTCACACAAATACATTTCAGTAATATTTTCTATTTTCTAATACCATTTTCATGTTAGAGCCAGAGGCAAAAGGAAAATCTCCTATCTATTAGTTTATAAGAAGAAAACAATCCCTGTTTCCAAAGGAGAACTATTTATTTATTTGATAAATACTTGAATCAAAGAATGAATGACTTTACCAGCAGATGATCTTACAACATGCCCTTACTTTATCATTGAAGTCAAATCTTTTTACTTTTTAAACAAGTGTAACTCAATATGCATTTCTTGCAGACCTACTTTCTCCCAGGTATGGGCAACCATAGGCATCAACAAAGGATAAAATGTAGTCCTGTTCTCAAGGACTCTGGGTTCCTTTAGGGGCAGTGAGACTTAGCCATTATAAGACAGTGTGGCAGGTGTCATCCTGGAGGGATGGGCACAGTGTTTCAGGAACACCCCAGAGCCCAGGAGGCTGGGGAATGCTTCACAGCAGGGATGGCAGGTGAGCCGGATTTTAAAAGTGTGAATAGGATTTTCCCACCAACAGAAACAAGGGGGAAAACCTTCTTAGCAAAGGAAGCATGAGAAAAGCTAGGGGATGCAAAGGGGAAGGAGTGTTTAGGGAACAAAGAGTATTTTGTGGGGCTGAGGCATAAGGGAGAGAGCTGTGAAGGATGGAAGTGAGAAGACGGGTGGCAGGCAGAACAGAAAGGACCTCATCAGTCCCGTGAAGTTTCTCCTGCAGGAAGGACCATGGGGAACCTCAGGTTTTTAAAGAGAGTGTTGCAAGATCCAATCTGTGTTTTCAGGAGGTAAGTGTGGTGGCAGAGGATGACAGAAAAGAGGCTAGGAGACAGTAAGAAGGCATTTCAAAGCTCCAGCAAGGGACCAAGAGACGGTTCAGAACATGCATCAGGATGGCTCTATGATCTTGGAGGCTTATAAATGTCCCCCAGACATGTTCTTTAGTTATATCTGAGTTTTTCCCCTTTAAGTATATATCAATAGGGTTTATATTTTTTCCTATTCAAAATATATCATCTGTATTTCCTGAAATCCCATTCCACATGACAGACAGTAAACATTTAGGCAACCACTTAAAAGATAATCTCTTACCTGAACAAAGCTGCTCCACTTTTGTGTAGTTTAAAGATACTATGTCATTAACCCATGCAATGATGTCATGTCTGCTCATAGTCTCTTGGGTTATCGAGGTAGAATACACGTTGACTGCCATTCCCCAACTAGGAAAAAAAAAAACATAAACAAGTTTATTTATCTACAAGGAAAAAATTAACTCAGAAACTTAAAAGACATTTAAGATCAGGATCCCTGGCAGAGATTTGGAGGATGTAATAGTCCTGCTTTGGCTAAGCTCTTTGGCTTCTTTTTCTCTTTCTCTATTCTACATATTTGCCTTAATATTATTGAAATATTAATATTAAAATTATTATTAAATTTCATACATTTTTCATGTAGTACCATTTTATATCTCCCCAACCAGATGCAAAGGTTCCTCAGGTTCTGAGATTCCTAATTTATGACACAATTTAGAGTCTCGCTTTTGATGATAAGTCTCTGTGATATTAAACAGTTATGAGGTCTATAACAGGGTACACCAAAGTAGTCTTTTATTTTTATGCATCATTTCATAGTACTTTCATTATGAGTACTTGCAAATGTCAGTGTTTTAGAGTTTGGCCATTCTTGTAGGTGTGCAGCAATAAAGGATTCTTTTTAACATTTAAACCTGGATGAAACTTTGCCATTTTACCTATTTTGTAGACTATGTATATATTATAGATATATATTAAACTTTATTTTGGCAATTTTCAAATACATGCAAAAGGAGAGAGAATGGAATAACAAACCAGTTGGGTTTACTCCCTGGCTTCAAAAATTATCAATAATTTGACAAATACTATTTCACTTATACTCCCATCAACTCCCCCTTTGCCAACTTTACACCTGATTCCTAAATCAGATTATTTTGTCATAAGTGACAAGCATCAAATCATTTTACCTATGTTTCTTTGTGTGTCTCTGAAAAATCAGGACATTAAAAACAAAACACCAAAGCACAAAACTATCATCATACCTAAAAATGAAAATAATTACTTAATATCAAATATGCATTTAAATGGCTTATAATTCTATTTTCAGTTTGTTTGAATCTGGATTCCAATAAGGTTCATATATTGTGATTCTTTGATATGTTCTTTAAATTTCTTATAGGTTTCTCCTCCATTTCTAGTCTTTCCTTGTAATTTTTTTTTAATTATTGAAGAAACTGGGGTATCTGGTAGTTTCCATAATCTGGATTTTTCTTTTTGCATCTATTGGTGTGGTTTAACATGTTCTTCCTTCCTTTGTATTTCTATAAACTGGTAATTTCATCTGGAAGAGGCTTGATCTGATTCAGGTTCTAATGTGGCAGAGGGCTGTGGCAAGACTACTTCATGCCATGCTTGAACTTCCATCAGGAGGTACATAATGTCTGCCTGACTCCTTTTGTGATATTGCTAGCCATTGATGATATCTGCCTAGATCCAATGATTCATCAGAAACTTCAAAGTGACATTCTATTATTCATTCTTGATTTACTAGCTGGGATAATTCTACAAAAAGAAATTTCCCTCTGAGGTACCCTCAGGTCCAGATGTTCCAGGCTCAAATTGTACATCTTCCTGCCTCAAATGTAAAACCAGTCACTTCTCCAAGGCCTCCTGATTCCTTTAATGCCAAATGGTATTCAGAGATATAGAAGTAATAATTTCAAGCATGACTAGATATGATAACAAAATCTATAGTTTATAGGTTTTACACAAAAATTCATGTATTTATAAAGCAGTTGTGCTTAGAGTTCTGACTTAGTCTTATTAAAGTAATAAAAATCTGCTTTCTATTTCAAAGTGCTGGGTGAAAAGTTTATTTATAAATAAATATAAAAATAAATAAATATCATCCATCCATCCCCAGAAGCTCCTTATCTCTAAATTATCTTCTCCTGAAGATCTGACAGCTCTCGTGACATTGGAATCTCAGATAATGTGACCATAATTACTGCTTTCTACACCATTATTAAAGGCTTTTTATTTTTGATTAATAACTTCCATCATTTTCTTTAGTCTATCATTTACAAAACAAAAATATTGGCTTTTAAAATCCAGTCTTTTTTAAAATCACTTTTGTAAATTACATAAAAATCTTAATAAGAATAAATAATTCAAAATTTAAAATACTTTAGACTGTCTGATGTAATTTTCATATACTGGCACCACTTTTGGCAATTGATGTACTTTTTCAGTGGTTTCTTCTTCAGGCAGTAACGGAATACTTTTGCATTACCAGGCAATATACTGATGGAGAATGAGGTGCTGAGGCCCAGTGTTATGCTAGATGGCACCAAACCAGGCTGAGATGGAATTTTTGCTCTAGGTGATTTAAAAGCAAAACTAAACACAAAGCAGGGAAGACACAAACAGATCTGTGTTTTAGAAAAACCATTCATATACAAGTGAGTAAAAACGTTCTGGGATTACATAAGAGAAAGAAATATACGAGAAAAGAGACATGATAGCTTTTTAAAACTCCATAAGAACAAGGAAGTGAGTCACATGCGGCAGTTTGTCAATGAAATACACCTTCCTCCAGGTCTTTACTGCTATCATTCACCTAAGGACAACAATTGTCTTTTCATAATCTAAACATATCCTTAGCACACACAGGCAAGTAAGTAAAGGCATTACCTGACTTCAAGGAGCTTATTAAGATGACCAGGTAAAGTAGGAAAATAGCACTGAATCTGCGCTTTAGAAAAACTCTTCTAGAAATTTTAGTAGGCTAACCACTCAAATCTCTCCCATATCCCCTCTCTAACCAACACAGCCGCAGTCCCCAGAAACCCCGTGGTGGCAGCAACCATGTGCTAAGGGACTTGCAGGAAAATAGGTTAGAGGACAGACCAAGAGTAAGGGTGAACCAATAACGGTTAGAATTGTTTTTTTCTTTTCCTAAAATAAAACAATAACAACACATTAAATAAATAGACTTCAATACTTACTTTAATTTAATAGCAATGAAATCAATGTATTTACTTTCTATTTACCATCCATGCTGATTAAAATATTCTTATAATCTAACTTCTTTTATAAATTTCAGCAAGGTACTTGTAAATTCATATGACTCTGTAGCTGTCTTTCCCTCCCTTTGTCAGCCCCCACCCAAACATCCAGCCCTTCTGGTTTCAGGCCTGAGAGCTCGGGGTCTGGCCTCCTCCTCCACAGAATGGGAACTGCCCTTCTAACACTCAAGTAAGTCAGGCGGCAGCCAAGGTGGAAAAAGAATTCTGTTCCTTCACCGCCTTCCACCCTTTTCTCTTTCAAACTCCTTCAGCTCCCACTTTTTCTACAGGTGCACTTTAAATACAGCCAAACTTAAATGATCAGGGTCTGCTGAGAGAGTATTAAATAGTCCTAGTCCTTCTGGGGACATATCCTAAATCCTAAGATTTCATTATAATTTCCTGAGTCTCAGTTTACATGACAGTACAAAGGTAAAAAAAAAAAGTACCCGTCCCTGCCTAGTCTGCAGAAGCGCTGTATAGACAACACAAGGAATTTTTATATCACTTTATAGAGTTACAGTGAGTCCACTGAGTCTTGAAAGAATCCCGTGAGGAAAGCAGGGTAAGAGTTATTAATAATTCTTCCCTTACAAATGTGGACACAAACCCCCAGCCTAGATTTCTGGTCCTTGAGAATACTGCCAGATATGTGAACATCCCATTGAAGGTAGGAATTACAACAATTCAAAGTACAATTTTTTAATTCACTGAGTAACTTCCAAAGACTCAATCAACAAAAACAAATGGCTATGAAAGGTAAGGTCATACTGAATGCTACGGAATAAGGAGCAATGCACCGTGCAAGGTTTATTCTCACACTTAGATCAGCACGTCTTCTACGTGGAAACGACAGTTTATTCTTAGATGATCTGCCATGTGGCCTCTGGGACATAAGCATTTCTCTCCGTGTCATCCTTGCAAAGAACAAAGTCAAAGCACTATCCCCTGCCTTGTGGCTTTTGATCAGCATCTTAACCAGATCACCAAGTGTTTAAGACCTGGTACGTGCGACAGCACAGACAGTGCTAGATAAGGGAAGGGAGCTTTCCTAGCATTACAGTCCCTGGGGCACCATATTTTAATATTGTATTTAAAATTTTACTTTAAAATGAATTTGCATTCATTGCTCCTACTTGAAAATAAACTAAGAATCACAATGTATTTATACACTGAGTACATGAATGTTGAAAGGTCTTTCTGGGAAGGTGGCAGTATGTAGTTGTTTCTATTTTTTTCTGCAAGCAGGAAAATGAAAAACACCCAGAAAAGCAAAAGTCCCTCAGATCTCCAGCAGGCAAAGTCACAATTTGGGCTTGTCTGTGGATAGTGACCATACATATGACTTCAGAAAAAGGACAGCCTCAGGCTGAGGACCAACATATTGATTTTGCTCAGTTTCATCCTTTATTCATCTTTGGTGGTGGCGCTGGGCAGAGAGGTATAGCAAGTTTATGCTTCCCAGCAGTTATTGAGCCATACAAATTGGACACTGCATTTCTGCTTACTAAAACAAATGGAATTTTTTGTGAGACTTGAGTTACCCTACTAAGCAAAGCCCTGGATAAAGGCCTGGCAAGCCCCAAACTGTGTAAACCAAAATATGAACCTACCACCTATACCAGTCCTGGGCCCAAAACCCCATTGCAAAATATTCTACAGTTCTTTCCAAGAAAAAATTTGGCAATTATTACAGACAGGGTGGCTCTTCAAAATTAGACAAATACGTAAGACATCATAGCTACTAGCATTATGTATTAATTGAAATTATTCCTTATGTCAGTGATTTTGTCTCTCTTCCTGGCCCCATCCAACCCCACCCCTTACAAACAGACTACCACAGTCATGCTTCAGGGCAGGGAGCTACCTTTCCTCATTTTCTCTCTTTACACTTTCACTGATCACTCCTTTTGGAGGACAAAACAGTGGGTATTTGTTTGCTCAGTGAAACTTATTTTGCCTTCGATTTTTTTTTTTTTAAACTAAAGTCTGAGTTCATGAAGCTTCCTGAGTTTAGACATGGTTATCTGCAAAATAGCCCTCCATAAGGGGTTGGCTACTGTCTGTTGCTCTGTAAGGAGGCCCCATTTGACTTAAATTTACCCCAAACCCACTTTGAAGCTAAATTTTTAAAAGACCTTTTGGATCTTTTAAAGGTTCTTTATTGATGCCACTCCCTAAAGACATCCATATTCAATTAGAAACTTCATGTTCAATAGCGAATGTTCTGAAAATTCAACCCATCTCATGCCAATATACTGTGTTCACACACTTTGCACTGACAACTATACCCATATTTGTGACTGTCTTTCTTCTCTCTCATAACAATCTCTGTTTTCAACATATTCCTCCATCACTGGGAGAAGTAATCCACCACCAACAGTTTAGAATAAATACATATAGTGTACTCTTCACCCAGTTTCACATGAATGAAACAAAGAGCAGACTGGAAAAGAGATACAAAGAAAAACTGTATTTTTCTTTCACTTGAGAAACTTATTTCTTTGAGCTTGGCTGGGCACAGAATGATTTCTGAAGGCCTTATAACCCAAGCGGTTTCTTAAGTAATGTTTAGAAATATCAGTGCCTGACTGGAAGCCATGTCCAACTGACCAGGTGTTAGACAGAGCTCCTTTCAAAAGTGTCTCTATACACGCCAAGGCAAGTGAAGAACCTGGGATCCCTAAAAACTCCTTTCTTTACCGATCGCTGGACTTACACTCGTTTCAGATCAAGGCCACACTATTAATTCCCGCATCACAGAGTGTTCTTTGGTTAAAGGTTTTAGGACTGTCAAAATCAGCCTGTTCTTGAATACCAGGTGAAGCGGGGCTCGCTATTTCAAATGCACTTGGAAACGCAGATTTTTACTCAGAAAGAAAGAATATTTTGAGATATTCTAACACACATAGCCATTTTGTAAACACTTCTAAGTATCCATAAATATTATAAGAGTTTAAAAAGAGATTTACCAATCCTTGATATAATAATGAACACTTTCTTCTGTTATAAGCAGCGGCTTTCTAAAATAACCTGTAAATGCTTAGAAGAAAAAAAGTACATTGATACTCACAGATTAAGTACTGAGCAAAAGGCAGACACCTCAAAAGCGGTTGTCAAAGACCACTTCTGCATTAGCATACGTGTTATCCACCTGAGGGGGGACGAAGATTCAGTCCCAGCCCGCAGACCTTCACGCAAATGTGTGAATGTCGTCCTCCTTTTCCGAGGAAAAGCCTCGTAACAACAGACAGCTTCTGCCTGCGTGTCTCCTTCCAAGGCTCCCTCCTAACAAAAGGCTGATGTTAAATCTCCCATGGCCGGCCCTAATAATGAACTGGGCTTCCATAGGGAGTGGCGGAGTAAATGTGTCCCCTGAACCAGAAACTTCCCTGCTTTTCATCTGCGCATAATTCATTCTCTAGACTCAATGCCTCCAGGGGTAGGATTTAAACATTTCACCAAGGGAAAGACTACGGCTGGATCATTCTCGATTCATCACTTTCTCTTTACTTGTGACCTGAAATGTGGGGCAGGGGGAAAGTATTTGTTTAAGGTGGGAGATCAGGATGGAGGAGAGAGGGAACCAAAGAGGGGATTCTTTGAAAGACAAACCTCCATAAGATGAAATCTCCCTAGAGAGACAGTACAGAAATGACTGTGTTCCACTTTAAAATAGAATGTGACTAAAATGCACAAATTTCTCCAACTGCCTGCAAGAGGAGATTCCAGAAGTTGCCTTGAAAATTGACCCCTATTTTTAACAGCCTCATATTATCTGCATTAACCTCATTAAGTTCTGTTCACTAGGTGGCTCCTTGCATATAGTTCTTAGTTTGGCTACCTACCAAATTTGGGTAAAAAAGCTTGTTTCGTTGAACTTGTGGACCAATCGCTGCATGCATGGATTCGGGGCTGGGATGGGAATTTAAGAGGTCATTTATTATCTCCAGGTAATAACACACAAAAGCTGCTTTGGGCAGCCGTGCATCTGGTTTAGTTTAGCACAGGGCTCTAGGACTCTGTGACGGGATTAGACGGACCATGCAAGACCAACCCCTCCAGGCACCGACCCTCCCCACGTGGGGCCTCTCAGGGTAGCAGGGGTCTAAGTACCAGCTTCACACAAGGATGACCCAGAAACATGGAGACGCTGCCCACAATGACAGCATACATACATATCTTACTAGAACATAGACATTGACACCATACTACCTTTTTTCCTCAAAATTAGGCATTCACAGCTTAGAACTAGGGAAGAAAACCAATGTAAGGAACTTTAATACTAAGCTGCTTAGAGAAACATTAGATAAACCCAAGTTTTATCAGAGGGCTGAGTCGCCTGCTTTTTATTCCAGGCTTTTCTACACTGCTGCCTACCATTCCAATATTAATGTGCTCTTTGTTGTCAGTCATTGCTTAATGATAATGCTTTTAATGTGGGTACAAAGTTCCATTTAGTCTGACAATCAGAACTCCTAACTCCAGCTAATAAGTGGCACCTCCAGGAGAGAATGAACAGAAAATTAATACTTTTTCTGAGTGTCTATCCCTTTTACCATTAACTATTACTTTTTTAAAGCAGACAGATTAAGCTCTTTCTTGCCACACCACAAAGTATGCTAAGTACCATTTTTAAAATATAGAATATGAGTAAAAATGCACAAATTTCTCCAACTTCCTGCAAAAAGGTAAAACCTCTTTTTACCATGAACTATTACTTTTTAAAACAGACAGATTGAGCCTTTTCTTGCCGTATCACAAAGTATGCTAAGTACTATTTTTTAAAAATAGAATGTGACTAAAATGCACAAATTTCTCCAACTGCCTGCAAGAGGAGATTCCAGAAGTTGCCTTGAAAATTGACCCCTATTTTTAACAGCCTCATATTATCTGCATTAACCTCATTAAGTTCTGTTCACTAGGTGGCTCCTTGCATATAGTTCTTAGTTTGGCTACCTACCATATTGTACCTAAATGAAAAAAAATAGATAAATAAGCTGAAACTTTCAAACCAGCATATATATGTACAATTTTGTTTTTGTTTTGATTTTTAAACTCAATTGACAAGTCAATAGCTACAGCCCAGGACATGAATTGGAAACTTGGCTGTTATCCAAGGAATGAAGAAATTCTGGAATTCTGAAAAAGGTCTCTGAGGCATTTCTAACGTACATGGATATGAATGAAACTTAAGTGCATCCAACCAGAGGAAAATGCTGAGGCCATAAACCTCAGGGGCATACGTTTCTTCATATGGTCAGAAATGCAGCTGATTACATTTGCCTAAATGTCCATCTGTTTCTAGCAGTGGGTGGCTTCATCCATGCTCTGAAAATAATTCCAATGACCCAGAGTGCGTTCCCATGCCACAGGGCTTGGCTGGTCTCCTCAGGGCACCAACTTCTGCTCAGCACCCCACCCGCCCACTTGGCTCCCAGCACATCTCTCCTGCTTAACCATATGCCTTCTGTTGACTTTCCCAGCCCTACTTGGCCTCATTCCCTCTCACCCTGACCTTAGCTCTCTCCCATGATCCCAAGTCATTTTCAGTCATGACCAAGCCGCCTCCACCCAGTATGGCCCCGGGTCAACCTTTCAGGGGATGGGGGTGCTGCTGGTACCACCGTGGGTGGTCACCTGTTAACCCACTGCACAGAATTAGGTGCTTACGATATAGCCCAAAAGTGTATGGCAATCAAAATGAACATGCTGTCACTAGGCAAAGTCCTGTGGGGGACACATTTTGTTGGGCGTGTCCCCCGCCTCCTGCTTCTGAGCTTTGTTGTGCACTCAGTGGTGCTAGTTCTCCCTGGGGGCCTCAGCGTCTTTCACGTCTGCCTTCTCTAAGCCTTTGCAGTTTAAGGAACAAATGATGGATGACAGCTTCAAGGTTAATCCTTAGAGATAAGCGGGGCTCTCAAGGCCTTATGCAAAGGGAGAGAAGCCTGTTTCTAGCACTTGGCACTGCTGGCCACATCGCATGCTTCAGGTTCGGCTCAAATGTCAGCTCCTCAGAAAGCCCTCCCTGTCCACCTCTGCAGCGGCCGCCTCCAGTTACGCCCGCATCACCCTGCTCTCTCCTTGCGGCACTAACTCCACCTGTAATTATCCTGTTGGCCAACTGTCGGCTCACCTCCTCCTGCCAGGATGGATGTAAGCTCTATGAAGGCAGATACTTTTTAGGATGTGTTTTGTTTGCAGTTGTGTGCCTTGTGGCTGCCACACAGTGGATGCACAATAAATAAATGCTGAATGAATGCATATGTGTGAGTTTTATGGGGACAGGAAAGTCACAAGTGCCCAAAATCATACCACGTAGGAAAACTGTTCATATGTGCCCCTAGTGCTATGGGAGACACTAGAAGGGATAAATTAGGGTTGAGTGAATTAAAGGATCTGTCTCCTATGTCTAAAAAAAAAAAGTGAGTAGAGAAATGTGCCATTGTTCATGTCTAGAATGCAGATATGAAAAGCTCTCTGACTAAGAGTCAGGGGCACCAGCCTCTAATTCCAGAGCTACCATCAACCGGTTGGGATAAACTTGGGCACCTGTGTCTCAACTCTTCAGAATCTCCTTTTTGTCACTGGTAAAGCAGAGGGACTAGATGATACAGTATAATAACTAGCATTTATTGAAAACCTTCTACGTGCCCAGTATAAGAAGAGGTAGTTTACATGTATTTTCTCATTTAGTCTTCACAGCAACGCCATGTGATAGGTGCTCCTTTTATGCCTTTATGTGGACTCAGAGAGGTTTAGTGACTTGCCCAGTCACAATAATTAAGTGGCAGAGTAGGGATTTGGACCTAGGACTGACTCTAGGATTCTGGCTCTCAGTTAAGTCCCTTCCTGTGCTCTTTCTTTATTATGTCATGAGAGTAAGTGGAAAGAAAAAAGAACCCCAAATGAGGACACAACGGTGGTCTTTAATTAAGCCATTTTTCCTTTTTTAATTCCACCAAGGCCTCATTTTACATTTTTCCTTTAACCAAGATGATTTTTTTAAACTTAAGTTTCCCTGAAGAAGAGCCTGACACATAGAGATCTGGATGGCTGGTTACTCGGTTTCTTACTGGGAACGATTTTTGGCTGGCAAACCTGCCAGCTGCAACATATAAGCCCTGCTAATATTTTAGGAATCGCCACATTTTACATTTCCAGTTACTATATATTTTGGGTTCAAGACTCTCAATTTGCTTTTTGTGGCACATTAGTCAAAATGGACAGAGACCTTGTACATTACGGCTTATAATTTTTTTCAAAGCTAATAAAAGAGTTCAGATTGGTATCTTGACTATGTTCAGGAAAATTTATTTCTTTAGAAAAAATAAACAAATCTCTTGGTATCTCACTCTTAGAGGTTGGTGCTTATCCAAAGGTCTGTATTTACATTATGGTAAAATCCATTTTTAAACTCATGAGAACATTTTGAAATGGAAATGGAAAATGAAGTACCAATAAAATTATGCCTATTAACAAGATGAGGAAAGTGCAGGCTAGCATTAAAATATATCCCAGTGAAACTGACTTCAAAATAGGTAATATACATCCATATCCCCCCAGTCCTATTCATGCCCATCTACTCTTCTTAATTCTTTCCATAGTAGACTCTGACACAGAATCAAAATGGAAAATTTCAATTTGGGAAATAGCACATTAAACTTAACCCTTACTTTCAGTTGGCAAGGTACTGATCAGCTTCTACATCAAACCTACTCCCCAACCACAGAGAACAGCCTGAGAATTACGAGATGGTTCTCTCCTGCACTTTACGAGGAAGAGCAAATGGAAATTTTGGTCATTGCTATATAGCTTAGCTAAGATTAGTGATGTTCAGCCAAGTTGGTGGAGCAGTGGGGAAATAGTATCAAAACTAGAAGCGTTATTTCATTACCAGTTCCCTAGGGCACTGTCCCCAAAACTTCCTTTCTCAAATGAAATGATTCTCTCATTTCAGCCAAAGAATGTAATTCCACATATCTTTTAACAAGTCTACCCCAGGATCAAAGTTTATCCTTCTTTCCCCTTCCCCAGTTCCTGGTACTCTTATTTGGGCAACCAGATACCATTCCTGTACATGGAATGGATGAAGGATTTTTTAAAATCAATAAACATCTACCATTTATTTACTGGAATGCAGAATGAAGAAAGGACTGATAGACTTTGGCATTAGAAGTATCAAGCAGCCGCTGACAAAAAGTTCATGTATAAACACATACACACACACTCTCTCTCTCTCACCTTGCAGTATCTCTTGGCTCTCTCTACTGCCTTGTCATAGGTCAAAATTTACAAATTTAGCATAAGTGCAGTATCATTGCAATTCTCAAAGGGAAGTACAAAAATGAGCATTTGAGTAAAAAGTGGATAAAAATTGTGCCATGTTCAAATTGAATAAGATACAGAAATAACAGAGGGACAGACACATGGTAAGAACCTTGGGTTTGGGAAAGAGCAGAAGATAGAAGCTTCTTGAATTACAGCCTCTCTTTTAGACTCTGCAGGTCTATGGTATAAGGACTTACAGGAACAAACAACAAAATTTAATACAGTATACTGTAGTAGTTTAATAAATGTGAGGAGAGTGGTCACTACTGAAATTTAGCATGTTTTGTTAAACTTAAGAAACTTCAAGACAGAATAACAACAACTGATTCATAAGCATTCAAAGATAATTAAGAGAAGGGAAATTACTTAGGACAAGACCTAATAAATTATTTGACTAATTAACTAGAGATGTTACTACAGGCAAAAATGTCTACTGAATAAGGAGGGTAAGTGAATGAACTTTAGTTCTAGGGTAGATACATGTGTTAAAAGTTACCCAGTATTTAAGTCAATTTGAATAGATGAAATTAGTAAATTTGGAAAAGTATCTCCCCATCCTGCCACCATATCTAGTTTCTAGGTTCTTAGGATTAATTAGACTTAGAGACTTTAAAAACATGTAAAAAAAATTAGGTTTGAATTCAGCAATTGACTAATAATTATTATTTTTTTTATTTGGCTTTTCACACTTAAACCAAAGACCTGTTATCAATGTTAGTTAATTCAATGTTTCAAAAATCTATTTTACTTTACAGTATTTCAGCTTTAGCTATTGTTGTAATAAATAATAAGCATGATAAACATTTAACATAGACTCATTACATATATTTATATGTGTGTATATATGCTACAAAGGATTAATTCTTAGTTAAAATTAAAATATCTCATTATAGTTTGATGAAGCAAAGAAACAACAAACTCAATGTAGGATATGAGTAAAAATTAAATTCTACTATTTTTTATAAGATGCCAAAGTAATAGAGTTAAAAAAGGATATTAAAAAAACTGTACATTTTTCTACTATAGAAAATATCGATAAAAATAAAAGTAAAGTACCCATCATACCCTCACTCAGGGTATATATATGTATGCATGTGTTTCAGACATACACACTTATTTACACAAATGGGTTCATACACACAGAGTTCAACAGTGGCCACCCAAAATTCATGTCTACCCAGAACCTCAGAATGTGACCTTATTTGGAAATATGATCCTTACAGATTTAATTACTTAAGATGAGGTCATGCTGGATTAGGGTTGGCCCTAAATCCAATGACTGGTATCCTTAAAAGAAGGTCACATAGAAACACATAGATGAAGAAGGCAGCGGCTGTGTGATAATCAAAGGTAGAGAGTGGAGTGGTGAGGCTGGGAGCCAAAGAACAGGTGGGGCCAACAGAAGCAGGAGGAGACAGGAATGGAGGGAGCCTTCTCTTCCCTTGAGCCTTTGGAGGGAGTGTGGCCCCGCTAATACCTTAGTTCTAGACTTCTGGCCTCCACAATTATGACAGGATACATTTTAACCCACCCAGTTTGTAGTAATTTGTTATGGAAGCCCTAAGAACCTAAGGCAATACATAACACACTTTTGAAATAATCAGCTTATTTCTGCTAACACTGGTGAACATCTTTCATATCTTCTTCATGTGTAACATTTGTATTACACCTCATTGTGTAGGTATACCACAGTATGCCAAATTCCAGAATTTTATTTTAACTTGTTTCATTGATTCTAAGAACTTCTACTTTGGTCATTTCCCCTCTTTTCTGGTTATTATGTCAAGACAATAGAACTGATGGTCACTTAAATACTAACAATGATCAAATCATCATTGGCTTACATAAAAAGATGTGGACATTTCTCCAATGCATAATTCTTCAGGTGACTTGCCAGGAGGCCTAGCTCTTTGCTAGTTAGAGGCCTAAAAGCCAAATGGACATCATCATTCTGGGCTCCCTTGTTAATAGGAAATAAAGCAATTAAAAAAAAAAAAGTCATGTCCTTGGCCATGGTAAGCTAAGGGAATCACAGGACATCCTGTCTAATAGTACTTGGCTTCCTTTCATGGAACATCCTCAATTAAAGCAAAAAGAACACTCTCAACTGAGTGTTGAGAGGGGCTTTGGTCTGCTCAGGACAAACCACAACACAGAAAATCACCATCTATAACCTAGATGGCAAAAGACGGCTGCCATCATGGCAGCAGTAACTCACCTTAAATTTGGCCTGAAGGTTTTGGCAATAAAATGAATAAATGACAAATGAAATAAAATCTACTAGTAGGCCTAGGGCATTTGGGAAATCATGAGTGAACTTATATTTTATATCTTTGGATTTTGAAACATATATCGTTAAAAAATAGGCTTTCAGTTAGAAAGATTTCCAAATGGGTTCTGGAAGTATCCTTAGCCTCTCAAAACATAACAAGGTCCCTCAGCAGATCCTCACAGGTAAACGTGTGAACTTTTGTTTCCCAGTCTCTAAATTTTATTTGAGACAATTTCTCCTTTGGGGCTTAGAGAAGTCAGGAGCCAAACTGGCAGCAACAACAGAACTGCTCAATTAGCATGAGAATAGAGTGAGGTAGAGTTGGGGGATGTTCACCTTAGAAATTAAAAAAAGAAAGGGACGCTAACACTTTCACTAACCTTAGCAGAAGTTGGAAAGCATGCAAATGCTTTCCTTGTTGCATTTAAATAAAAAAACATTCTACATACACTTTCCTCCAAACAGTGGAATGTTTGATCTAGTGTTAAGTGGACACAGAATACAAAGAAAAGAGTATCTACATAATTACAGGGTTCTTCTCCACAGAATTCGCAAAGCATCACACACCTACCAAGACCCCAAAGAAAACCTAGCTCCTAAATTTAACACCTTCATATGAAACTTTCAAAATGGATTTTGTGAGTTAAAATAATTGTTACTATTTTGCAGTCTATCTTAATAGAATCATTTAATATGTACTTACTGAGAGAGGGACTGTGCAACTAATTGCTATAAATGGCATTGTGGAGAAAGACCAGGTAGAAGAAACTATGCTTTTTCTTGAGGGGTTTATATGCAGATTAAAAATACAAGATTCACACACATTAAAATCTAATTCAAGACTACAGTATAGTATCCAGAATATATTTTTATTAATCTTTTATAATAATAACATAGCCTAACTTTTTTAAACGGGCAAAAAATTTGAACAGACACTTTACTAAAAGAGACGTACAAATGGCCAATAAGCACATGAAAAGACAGTCAATCATCATTAGTCATCAGGAAAATATAAATTAAAATTTCAATGAGATACTACCTATATATTATAAAGATGGCCAAAATTTAAAAGACTGACAATAGCCAAGTGTTACCAAGCATGCAAAACAACTGGAACTCTCATACTTTGATGGTAGGAATGTACAATGGTATAACCATCTTGGATAATTGCTTGCAGTTTCTTAAAAAGTTAAACATCAGCCATATGACTGAATCATTCCACCTCTAGGTATCTACCCCACAGAAATGAAAACATGTCCCCACAAGAATTTGTACATGAATATTCACCAGAAGCTTTATTCAAAATTGCTAAAAATTTGGCAATAACCCAAAACATTCATCAACTGGTGAATGGATAAACAAAACATGGTATAGTAGCCACATGATGGAATATTACTCAGCAATAAAGAATAATGAAGTGCTGACAGTCAATATGGATGACTCTCAAAATCATTATGCTGAGTCAAAGAAATCAGACACTGAAGGGTACATTCTGTATAATTCCATTTTGATAAAAGGTAATCTAATATGTGGTTACAGAAAGCAGATCGATAGACTGCAAGGGGTATAAGGAATCTTTTAGGAAGGATGGAAATGTTCTGCATCTCCACCATGGTGATGGCTTCAGGATATATACTCTGCTAAAACTCACTCAATTGTACACTTTAACTGGATGCCTATGGTTTATAATAGTTTATTGCCTATAGACTAATTCTTAATAAAGTTGATGAGGGGGAGAAAGACCACAGTATAATCTGTTTGAATTTTTTGCAGATTCAATTTGGACTTTTAATGAACATCTGCTATGTGCCAGGTATTGCACTAGGTACTTAGGACACAAAGATCACAGATTATTATAAAGATAGGGTGAAACAGTAGATTTAAATCACAAGCAATAGTACTAGCTAACATTCTTTAAGGGATTCACTTTGCACCAGGCACCACTTGGTGTACTTTACATTTGTGTTTCATTTAATCTGCCTAAGAACCCTGTAAAGTTGGTGCTGTTACTATTTCTATAGGCACAGTAGGAAACTGAGGCTTACAGAGGCTGAAAAACTTGCACCAGGTCATCACTTGGAAAGGGGTGGAGCTGGGATAGGAAATAAAAGTCTCACACTATTGCCAACCTTTGCCCACTGTTTCTCGAAGCAGCTCTCTGGCTGAGCACTTTGACAACCTCAGTGGTCCTAATGGGCAGTAGGAAAAGAAGCGCTGGATGGCCCGGGCCCTCTTTTCAGTCTAGACTAAGTTTTGAACTGGAGTTGATATACCAGCAACACACTTATCACACAGGCTAGAAATAGGCGCACAATTATTCGTGCTGACATCTTAAAGTCAGTGTTATGACAATGCTCTCTGCCTGACAGAAATTACAGAAAGAGAAAAATCAGCCTCCCAAATACCGAACTTTGCTTCTCAAATTATTGTGCATCCTAGGCTCCCAAAGGGATTTAGGAGAACCGTGCTGGTCCCCTAGCCTGCTGTCACCAGATGCCTGCCTGGGCTAACACAGCGCTCAGCATTTTCTCCTGCCCTTGGAGATCAAGTGTTGGAGGGGCAGGGTTACTCTGCCCACGGAAAGAGAGAGAGAAAGACTGGGGGTGGGCCTGTAGATCTGAACTCACCAGAGAGGCTGACACTTTCACCCCAAGGAACCCTCACCCTCCTCCACGCTGCACACGCCTCCCGCCCACCCACTAGCAACCCTGCCTTCCACTTCCTCCTTTGCTAGCAGAGATATTCAGCTCGCAAGCACCATAAGCTTTTTTATTTCATGGTTGCTGACAGTGAGCAGGGCCCTATAGGAGGATTATGTATTCAAGGCTTTCCTCTTCTTTGTTTTTTCTTAATTGGTCAGTCTCCTTGGGAGTTCCCTGGGGAGAGGGACCCGGGCAGAGCGGCCTGGTGAGCACAGCTGGCTTGTTTCCTGGCTGTTATCACACGCAGGGGTTACACGCAGGCCAGATATTGCTCAATCACTTCCCTAAGGTGGGAGGTTAAGCTGAGTTGGGGGAGGACAGAGGACTGCAGTCAGTGTCAGATAAAAATGGCAATTACCTGCAATCCTCATGGTTTTAGGGCCCTGCACTGTAGCTGGCAAACAGCAGGTGCTCAATAAATGAGAAGCAAACCAAAAATGCAAAGAGGATATTTAAAAATAATCCTCACAGAGTATTATTTTGCAGTTAGTGTGAGATTCATGGAGCATACTAAGCAGGCTGGACACAATCACAGAAAACAACCCAGGCAGCTCCCATGCGCTCTGGAGAAAATGAAACAAAATCTGGCCTACGGATAGCTATGTGTGAAACCTCATGGGGCTAAACGAGGCAGATGCTGTAAGTGTACTTTTCATCTGTGACTTGCGATGTTTTAATATAAGAATGGTACTTGCATTAGGCAAATCTTTAATTATCATCTGTGTGACTTCAATAAGTCCATGAATATTTTGAGATGTCTTCTAACATATTTCAAAATGTAAAACTCATTAAAACATAAACTCATTTAATTTTTTAAAATCCATGCTACTAAAGCACTAAATGCAATAGCACTGATTGATTAGGTAATGCATTTATAGTTTCAATTAAAAAAAACAC